TCGTAATGGTCATTGTCATTTTTGAGTGATTGTCATTATTTACGCATCAGTAGCAAAAGTGAGGGGAACTGTGAAGAAAAGATGAAAATAATATAAGATTTACTAAAAAGATTTTAGATAATATATATTAAGTTTAGAATTTAGTACTAGTAGTACTGGTATCACATCTCTAAACTTTCAGTATGGTGAATGCCTTTTCTCTAGAAGGTGTAAGCATTTTGCAGTAGTAACATCCTTAGTTTCCTAACCAAACGTTCTTCATTTTCATGCACCTGAAAGGAACTGTCTTTTTCTTTTCTTGTCTACCATCGCCAGACACTGCTATAGCACAGATGTCATTCAAAATCCACCCTGCATGAGGGTCTGCTTTGTAAGCAACACATTCTTCAGAATGGCTGACTACAAAGGACGGTGTCACAGTGTAAAGGTGTTAGCCCTTATAATCAACTCTGGACCAGGTTATGGGTTCAGTATAAGTTACTGTGGTGACCTAATCAGATGAAAAGCACCACCTTCAAGACACTGAAAACTCTGACTTCAGGCTCAACACATTTCAATAACCTATTAGTCTGTTTTCCTATTGGCCCCCCAGCTCACCAGTGGTCCCTTCCAAGATTTAGATCACCATGTGGCGCTCTCAATCTTGGGGTTGAACTGTAGCTGCAGCTGCCAGAGTAGAGCCAGAGCCAAAGAAAATAGTTCCTTTTCAGTGCTCCATAGAATGCCTTTCACCTTATTTTCCATATATTAATTAAGAGTTTCCTAAGTCCAGTCCTTTCTCATCAGTTTAGGTTTTTGCACATGACAGTTTGCAATCAAGCCGTGGTAGATCTGCTGCATGAAATTAATTTTGTTCCTGATTAAACAAAGACAGAAGCAGCCGATGATCTGTGTTGAATTTGTTGATTAAAATGGAAGCTCTCACAGGTTTTATTAGCAAGCCAAACACTCAAAGCGTTTAGTGTAGTTGTCAATATGCACCTGACAGCTACTGGAAATAATATTGTGCAAAAAGATGCAAAGTGGTTAATGCTACCTATTTTGTGCAGAGGTCAGCATGTTGATGAACCACAGAGAAGGCATGGAATAGAACAGGTCTGTCAGTGCTCTGAAGCACCTCCAGACTGGACAGTAACGCAGCATTCAGCTGCACAGATGTAGGGCCACTTCAGCTTTGGTGTTTATATTGATTTGTAATGTGAGAATTCAGTTCTTTGACTACACTGCTCTGTTTCTGTTAATACTTTTGCTTTTCATTTAATGCTTTTCATTTAAACTACACTATAATCACATATTGCTTGTGGGAAAAATGAGCCTGTCTGACTGTTATCGCTGTCAGACAGCGTGAGGTCACCTCTGCATGAGCGAATCCCTTTCTACGGAGCAATACCTATTTCCCGATCACAGGCACATCATGAGGGGACACGGGGCACATGAAAAAGACACCACAATATACCACAGAGAGGAGCAGGGTTCACCTTGTCTAAAAATCCCCATCAAACCTTGTGATCTCGCACAATGACTTAATTGCATATGATGGGAACTCTTTGAAAGTCCTGATGCAATCTCAAAGACTCTTTAGATAAACCAATGGGCCGCGCTTCTCTGACTGTGGAGGCTGTAGGACAGAGAGAGCAGCGCTGCTCCCCTGTGATAATGGTTGACCTGTTCTATTCAATGAGCACAAAAAGCACACTGGTGCAGTGTTTAAGCTGTGAAGCGGTGCACAAAAAAACCTCCAAAAATATGTATGAGCGTGATTGCAGTGTTTATTAGAAATACAGCTAAAACACCTGCCTCTGTAGTGCAGAGGCTTATTGTTTTCTGTATAGATTTCCTGCAGGTGACTGTACATGAGCAACATGTGGTCCAAAAAAAAACAAGACACTCTGAAGCACCTTACATTGTCTAATGTCATTTGTTTTTGTGTCTCAAAACTGTAGCAATTTGCTACATTGATAGGCATTTACAAGTACATTTTGCAGTGGGTCTATTCTAGAGTGTAATGCATTACAAGCACCCGTGGCAGTTTCTATTCAACCGACCAACATACAGAGCTGTTACTTTAGTGATGCACTTTAGGTTAATGGTTTGTGGAGAGGTGGATGATAAGGGCCTTGAGGCACGAAGGAAGCAACAGGGACCATGCTAACTGCTGAGCTATTCGAGGCTACTCATTTTCCTTTGTGATGGCTTATCAAAAAGGCATTTGTGCCCCCGTGGGCTCATCTGGCCCCTGAATTTATCCTCCTGATAAAGCACTAGTCAATCCCAGCTGCCCGGAGTTGCAGACCAGACTTCGCTCCCCCTTGCCTGTCTCTCTGAACAGCAGTGACCCTTGCCACAGACATCCAATTACAGACAGTGCTTCAGCCAAGAGCAATGCTCCTGTCCAATAACTGTAAACACAGCTACAGC